AGGCATGATGTGTTTCATAATGAAATATGTATGAAATACTAGATAAAAGGTATATAACTGATTTTTTTTTACAGATTTCTTACGAATTTGTATGTGTTAGGTTAGGGGATGCATGTTGCATCAGTGCCGTTCTGTATCTTTTGTCACCTTCAACATTGAGATCTAGAATTCGAAAGTAAAACAATTTAAACAAACTGTCATTGCATGACATTTGGAATGAATTGTGACCTAAATGAATAAATTCGAATGAACTGACCTATGCCTTATTTCCACTTGCATGCAGTTTGAAGAAAAAGAAGAAAGTTGTTGCGGATTCTTCAGTGCCCAGGATAGATACTTACTGTCAATCCATACCCGTGCCTTGTAACCACACAGCCACGTCTTCAGAAGTAGAGGATGTCCCCGAAGGCTTGATCCTTGAAACAGTTGACTAGATAATCAAGTCGTGTACAGTATAGACCGAATACCTTGCGAGTTGATATTTTTATTCACTTTTCTAACACTTCATGTAGCAATCTAACACTTTTTCACACTCTCCAAATAATGCGAACTGCTACACGTATTGTGGATAAGTGGAAAGTCAGTTCATTGACCTTTAAACACTGTTTATTTTTAACCATGTCAAATGATGGAGACCGTAAAACTGTAAATAGTGTTCAGTTCCACTTAGTGTTTGTTGACACGGTTTCTTCTGCTTAAAAGCACTTTGTGTCTCTTATTCCCCCTGCAAGTGCTGTTTGTTGCACAGTAGTCTGAAAAACGTTTCTAGCTATGGCGACTAGTTGGAGAAAGACAACCAGCGCAAAAGTTCATGTATATCTACTACACTCACTGGTCACAAAATGTCGAAATATTGCACGTGCCCCTAATTTGTAATCTTCAAGCAGATCTTTTGGTGGCTACAAAGACAGAATCAAATTGGCAAGACAGTTTCAAATTGGCCAGGCTGTATCCATAGGCCAGATGGTAACTGCCTGGTCAATGAATACAGCCTGGCCAATTTGATTCTGTCTTTGTAGCCACCAAAATATCTGCTTGGAGATAGTGCCTAATTTGTACGTTGAAGCTAAACAGTTGATATTTTGTCATAAATAAGGATCATATCTTCCTCTGTGTTGTATATATGCATCACACTTCCAGCCTCATGTGCGAATTCTCCGTCGAGGTCCGTACATTGCGTACCCACACTTTTTCTGTTAGGATTGTCTTCAGATGGCCCTGGCACTTTTGTATCAGCAGTGAGGGATTTTTCTTCAACAGGAATATCAGCAGCATCATTCTAGTATTGAGAAAAAGATAACGGACATGAAATTTGAATATTTGTATACATTTTACTAATCATATATGTATATATAGATCGTGCAATTTGAGACGGACAGTGTTTTAACATGTAGGTAGCATTTAAAGTAAATTAAATAGCTTAAAAGTAAAGTAAATGCTACATGTAGAAGAACATTGTGTGAAAAAATAATAAAACTTTTAATGTGATTTTTGTTCGTTTATATCTGTTTTTTTTACTCTTTTTCTGATCAACTATCAACCATTTCCTCTCATTTCCTAACACTGCTGGTTCAAAATTAAAAATTAAAACAGTAAAATTGCTTTTTGTCGAATTCTACGATCCGTACATTCATAGGAAGCCCTGGTTGAGGCTACATTTTCCCAACAGAAATAATAGGTATGAAATAACCTGTTTTTCTACGTTCTCCTCCGCTGAAAACCTGCCCAGAGAGACGAGGAACAGAATGCAGGTGCCGATGATGGGAGGCGCGCCTGAGTAGAAAAACGCGGCGTTGTAGGATCCAGTGTAATCGTAGATCCATCCTGACGAGAAACAATGAAGTGGCGTTTAAAGTTCCACTGCAGTGCCAAGGGAAGCCACTAGGGGGCCAAAAATGTCATCATTTCTAGATGTAGCCACACCCTAAGGAGCCACCAAGTATGAAACCAATCCAGCCAGGCGTTCTTGAGTTATCTTGTTGACAAAATTCAGTTCCCTAGGGAATGCATTATTTTCAACTCAATCGCAGTACTATGCCAACGGCTCCGCCCCTGAGGCGTCACACTTAGCCTCCTGTGCAGGCCTCTGAGCGGGTGGGCGGAGTTTTGCATGGGTTTTGTCCTACTATAGACCGATCCTGAAGCCCCGCCCACCTCCCTCAAAACATAGAAATGACGGACATGAAGCCATTCTCTCATTGGTCAAATCACTAATTGCCTTTCTTTCATTGGTTGAACTTTGAACTTTTAGAATGCCAAAATCAATTTCAAAGGTACTAGTATATAAAAAATGTGGAGAAATGAAAATAAACAGTCTATCATTCGCCATATACCATACTCTGTATCTAATCATTTGTTCAACCTTCATGACCACGTACATTTCATAATGAAGGCAAACTTTCTTTTAAATTTATTCGCACGCTCGCATCAGTTTGGGATTCCCAGAGGACGTCACCCATATAATCAAATCAACATGGCCTTATTGACTAACCTGCCAGGGGAGGTCCCACCGTCAGAGGTACGGACGCCAGCCCCAAGAGGAAGCCGATGGCCTGGGAAGCGTCCTCCGGTCCGACCAGGTCGAAGGCGATCGGTCCTATCAGCGCCACGAAGCAACCGTCGAAGATACCGAGAACCAGAACCGCGCACACCAGGGCGTAGTAGTGTCGTAACACGGGCAGTAGGGTAGTTACAATACCTGGGGAGGGATAGAAACTGTTATAACTATGAAATGGCGCTTGCGATCGGGAAGTGAGCGCGGATGGCTATGCGTGTCAGCTGGCTACTCTCACCGGATACTTAGTGATGTCTTACACGAAACATAGTCTTCACGCTTGTTACACGAAGTAAGATTTAGACGTTAGCACCCCCTGTACCCATTGTATTAGTATAGTCCATGATATTCAGTAGCAAGGCTCCAAGGAACTGACGTATAGAGATTCTATCTCTTTCCCATCTGGACTGGATCGAGCAAACACGCTTTAAGTACTATACGTTTAGGCCACAGCAAGTAAATTTTATGGATGACATCCTCCACAGATTCCAAATCTAATGCGAGCGGGCGGGCTGAAAAAAAAAACCAAGACGGGCTGAAAAAAAACAAGGTTCTTACATTTGGAAATTTTGACTCAATCATTGTACAAATGGTTTTGATTCAGTGGGAACATCACATATACACAGCCAGCATCACATTACATATCACTGCATCAAAGTAAGAAACAAAACATTAAATCAGAGCCTTGTCTTGCCTCCTCTCTTTATAATTATCTGCAATCCACCTTCCGGTATGGCAACAGACATCTTGGCCTATTTAAGGCATGGTGACCACTGTCAAAAGGCAACAAAATTTCTTGTTTTTTTTTTCCAAAACCAGGCGAAAATCAATGCGCGCGCTGATGTCATCCATAAAAATTACTTGCTGTGGCCTTACTAACCCTACTTAGAATAAAGCAGCTAAGAAATGCAGTGAATCTGTCTGAATATCCTGACCAAACAACGTACAAAGCAACAACGCTGAGGTAGACGTTAAGCCCTTATCCCACGTATAGCCGAGTATGGCCTCCCGAACACTGCCGAACTCCCCCAACCATGGCAATTAGGAATAGGTCGGGACTCGGGAGTAAAGTCCGCTGTGGTTGGCTGGTGTTCGGCAAGGTTGGGTACTGTTCGGCTGCGCCAACCGAAGGTTTCAAAAATGTTAAAAACATCCGGGTGTGGACGGGAGGTTCGGCCGTGGTTGGCTGGTTGTTGGCTATACGTTTGGGAGTAGACAAGGTAATGTTTGGGGCGTGTTTGGAGGTCAAATGTGACTTTTAAGTTACATTTAAAAATGTAACTCAAAGTCGGTTCTATTCGTACAGACAGGTAAGCGTGGACTAAATCTGGTCAGAGTGCCCAGACCTTCAGCCAACTTTGGTTGACAAGTGGTCAGTTGAAGATTCTGAATGTCTGACAGGTGCTTAAAACAAATAAACAACTATAGGCAGTACGACTGTCCCTGGTGCTGAACTGCCTTCTCTTGCTTTCAAATCATAGATCTTGAGCGAAAGAAATTAGTAGCTCCTCTGAAATGTGCAATAAAACCAACTATCACTCATCTCTGTTCTCCAGAACAAGAAGAATTTCATACAAACATAGCTAGTGACTTACCTATCATGAGGAAGGAGAGTTGTTGCAGCATGATTCTGTTGACACAAGCGAAGTCCGACACTTTCCCGAACACCAGCCGACCGACTCCCGACGCCGCGCCCATGTACGTCACCAAGGCCGCTCCGTTCGCTCGGGGCATGACATGACGGACGTAGTTTACCTGTAGGGATAGAAGATATGGGGTCATGTTTAGAGTTAAAACTTTAGATCCAACACAAAAAGTTCTCTCACCTAGAGCTTTCGACTAGTCACTCTGGTCTTCCTCAGTGACAAGCCTCATTGGGTCAGTCTACTTAGGAAGACCAGAGTGACTGGTCGAACGCTCTAAGTGAGAAAACTTTTTGTGTTGGATCTTACGTTTTAACTCTAAACATGTAACTACCAACACAGATGAACTTTCATGGTAGATATGGGATCAGTTAGTACTCTCCAACAGACACCTTTGCAGGTTGGATAAACAGTAGTAATCGGCCTGGAAAGGAACGTAACTGTAACTGGCCAGGCAAATTGGACCCTCTATATATGGCTGAATAACTACCCTGGCCAGCTACATTCCATGTTATCCATGTACACGCTGATGTCATCCATATAATCAAATCAACATGGCCTTACGTGCTGATTTCTTCAGTTGACATTTTCGATCCGAAAAGAAAATACTGGGTGAAAATTTGGTTGAGTCTAATTTGTTGTGTTTGAAATTACAGTTTAAACTTGCTTTATAATATGAAACATTAGTTTGGTAGTAACAAACTCAGGGGCAACTGAGTCCTTGATGAACAAAGCAATGATGCAGTGCTCCAAAATATGTGTATAATTGTAGAAAAGAATTACTTACTATATGTACGTATGGCACAAAGTAGCCAAAGAGAGCAAATGGCACACCGATGGCCCAAATAACGTATCTTCTGTTCCGCCATATTCCCAAATTCAGGTGCTTTTTGATCTTCTCCACGAATGTTCTTTTTCTGTCGTTGACTGGTGCAGTTCCATCCCCTACCGCCCGAGGTCGTTGCTTCTCGATCAAAGGCGTGTACACGCAACCGCATAGTACCAGCGTCGCAACCAGGCCACTGAGGACACGAAACGTTGGGAAAAGTCCAATTTTTCTCAGCATGAATTTCAGAACAATCGGGAGGACCATAGTGAAGAGGCTGCTCCCGAATGTCACCAGTCCGTTGACTAACCCCATGCGTTTCTGGAAGTAGTGGCCTAGGATGACCAACGAGGGGGTGTAGGCGAGTGATGAACCCAGCCCCACCAGGACACCGTATGTGAGGTACAGCTGCTGGAGATGGGTGACGGCGGAGCTGGATAGCATTCCGACAAACGCCACTACTCCCCCGGCGATGGCGGTGGGTCGGCAGCCGAACTGGTCGGTCAGCACGCTGGCTAGAGTTGAGCAGAAAAACGTCACTCCTATAGCGGTGGAGCCCACCCACGCTGAGGAACACGAAATACGATTAGAGAAGTAACCTCATGGCTCTCTTGGAGGGAGTTCAGAGGCGGGCGACAAAGTTCATTCTTCGTAACAATGCAAATGTCAGTGAACTTAACTACAAGGACAGATTATTGTACCTAAACATGCTACCTCTGTCTTACAGGAGGGAGACAGCCGACATCATGGTTTTCGTTAAGTCCCTGTCAAGTATGTATGACCTGAACGTGTATGAATATGTATCTTTTTCAACCAGACCAGCAAGGAGTAACCGGTCATACATATTAATGCCAAGCCGATGTAAGACATCTACATTTGCCATGTCATACATACCACGTCTGGTAACTGAATGGAATAAGCTTGACGTCGCAGTTCGCATCAAAGGGGCTTCGACGTTAAATCAGTCTGACTTACTGTCTTTTAAGCGTTGTCTTGTGAAATCTTCTGTTGAGAGATTTAAACATCACTTTGAACCTGACAACCTCTGTACATGGTCCACTGCGTGCAAGTGCGCGTCTTGTCAGGATTTGAGGGTTCGGTAGTCTGTATATATTAAGCTTTTTCATTATGAATATGTATATGTAAATCACTCATTATTTTATACTTGAGTCTATTGTATTTGTATGCTGTATCGGGACGAGGGCTGGTAAAGGTGTTACACCTGTTCCCCCGTCCCTTTCACTGTTGTGATGAATTTTAATAAATAAATAAATAAATAAATAAATTTGCAAAGCAAATGCATAATGTTTACCTTCGGACATGGTCTGCTCTGTTATAATTCTTACTCAAACACATTCACATACATGTACTACTAGTATATGGTGACAGGAGCAGAGCAGACCATGAAATTGCAACATTATGTAACCCAACACCAGTCACCATGGTGAAGGACGTCAACAAATCATGTCATTGGTCAGGTCAAAAGTCACTGTTTGGAGAAGAAGAAGAGGAAGAAACTGAGCAAAAGCAATATGTTTTCCTTCGGTAAACATAACTAAGATTTTTCCCCAGATATGAAAAAATACTCCTCGAGGTGGATTACTTTTGGATCGGGATCGGAGAAACTCAATCCCGATTGGAGCGTTCACACTACAATAGCCGATCCGGATTGACTGAATTTGAATAATTTCGATCGGTATCTGCGGTCAATCCGGATCCATTTTTTGAGTGTGAACGGGGTCGTCATGGATTGTAGCATGAATTTGAGACCTAAGCAACTCGAAAGAGCTACCAAACCTGTCAATCATGAAAATCTGAACTATTACAGATCTATTCCACTCTTAATATATATAATTCAATAATTTATAAAAAAAATATTTTTTAAAATACCATTAAAGGCACCCAAAGCGCTTTCAGGGCTGTAAAACTGGATTGGTGTTCATCTTTTTCATGTAGTCAGTTGAATCAACCTTACTAAAAACAGAGGGACTCCTCACGTATCTTGGTTAGGGGATATTTCAAATGCTTCAAGTATGAAACGACGACGAACGTGTGCTAAGAAATGGTAGTATGTGAAGATAAAACAAATTTCCTCATCCAGCATATTTCCGTTTTGTTTTACCGCCGAAATTTCATTGGATGCCTTTAAAACGCCCCCTTGCGACTGTGCATATGTATGCCACCAGTATTGACAGAAACAATCGATGCGTCTGTTGTTTCCCCTTTGGGGTGATCGATGTGCACAATTATTGCAACAATCGCTTCTCAGTCATTTATTATTATAACACACGCCCCATTGGTTCAGACCGTATTCAGGGGTGCCAGAGTACTAGTATACAGTGCAATTTTACGGTATACAATACAGTCGTATTACAGTGCAATTTTACGGAATACAGTGCAATTTACGGAATACAGTGCAATTTTACGGAATACAGTACAATGGTATTAGTATACAGTGCAATTTTATGGAATACAGTGCAACCGTATTAGTATACAGTGCAATTTTACTAGTATACAGTGCAATTTTACTGGTAAAATTACACTGTATACTAATACGATTGCACTGTATTCTGTAAAATTGCACTTTATACTAATACTGTATTCTGTAAAATTGCACTGTTTACTAATACGCTTGCACTGTATTCTGTAAAATTGCACTGTATTCTAATACGACTGTATTGTATTCTGTAAAATTGCACTGTATACACATGTACTCTGGCACCCCTGGTATTGCATGTACAGCTGTACACAAGATAAATGTGTGATAATTCGAAGTCAACGTCATGCTTTTTTAAAAATTTCTTTCATTATCACGGCTGGGGGTTGATACTTGAGGAAAATTGCTCATGAATTTTAGGTTAGTGCATGTCGATATCGAATATATGCACGCCTATAATGATCTCCAAGCAGATGTTGTAAGGTAAAATCGTAACGTTTTTCTCTGAACTCCGGATCCCCATTTCTGTTACAGAAAACGTTCGATCTGTGGAGATTTGAATTGTCTTTCTAAATCGGCGTTTCTGTCTTAACATTAGGCCCTATAGCTCGTTGCCAACAATTTGGCTTCATGTAAATCATGCTTGTCACTATACATAGACCCAGACGTACATTATTGGAGAAAGAAAGTGCTTGCTCCAATACTACGGCTATACCTTTGAGATAACACAGCACGACATTGTCTTACAAATAATAATACTATTTTCGTTATTATTTGGATCTGTACGTATTATCATTTTGCATATCGTCTGTGTTAACGTTGCTCGTTATCACTATTGTTATTATTGTACATGTACGTATATATACGACTAAGATTTAAACCCCCATTCCTTATACATGTATATTGTGAAAAAAATAATAAATAAAAAATAAAAAGAATAAAAAGAATAAATGTACCTGTCTGGAAAGCATCAAAATATTTTTGTTATGATTTGCATCTGTATGTATTATTTGGCATATCGTCTGAGTTATTCTTTATCACTATTGTTATTATTGTACGTATATTTTTACGACATACATTAAACATCAATTTTTTACACATTGTAAAATAAAAGATAAATACATAAATGACAAAGAATAAAATGTACCTGTCTGGAAAGCATCTGATCCAGGAAAGGATTCAAGAAGAGATACAAACAGAACCCCGGAAGTGTTGAGGAGGCCGAAGATGGTCCCGTTAGTCCACATGGACGCCAGGCACACGGCCCAGCCGAACCCGCCATCCGGCACGGGAGGCCCCCGCCGCCCCTCCGACGGTCTCCGCTCAGCTGCCCGCTCCGACATCGGCGTTACATCACCCACTTATCACCTAATCTACAATTCGATCTTTTGTTGGCTGTGCAAAGACAGTATCAAATCGGCCAAGCTGGATCCATATGCCAGGCAGTTATCACTAAATTTTACCAAACGGCTGGCGTAAAAAATACCACAACAGGAAAAAGAAAGCCCGATACAAACGTCCAAAACACGCCGAAACTATAACATCTGCTTAGAGAGAATCATGACCACCATCTCAGTTACTAGTAGGTCAAGCCGTGGACAAAACGGTACGCAGCAAGGCGGTCCTCATCCTTATGTCATGTCAACGTACAGGGCTTGTGTTACTGCGGGGTCGCTAAACAATATAGGCTTGGAGCGATGCCAACAGCAACACGAATCAGATCTGTGTGCTCGCGTGCCGCATTTATAAGAGAGTCTGCATGGGGGGATCCCGGTAACGCTAAACGGTGGATTTAATTAGGTCAACAAATAACGTGTTGCGTAGAACTATAAAGCGATCGATTTGGTTGTGGTGGTGCGAAGGTTCTGAGTGTGTGACAGGGGCTTACAACGTAATCTGACTGTATCAGAGCTTCTACTGGGCTTCAGAAGAGGCTGGAAAAAGTAGAAATTGACCAAGTAGACAGATAATATGCCAGGGGAGTTGGTCAGCTGAAAGAGTAAAGTTTACGACTATTTTGGCCAATTTCTAATCTTTCCAACCGCTTCCAAAGCCTGGTCTAGCAGTATGATTCCTACTAGTTTAATGGTAACATCATAAAGTGGTTAAAACGTCACAAGTGAATTGATTCCACATACCACCTCTGAAGCCTGGGTGAGGCTAACTGTACCATATTGTCAACACTCTTATGGCACACACATAAAACACCCGCAACTTCTTTTGACCGCAAGCCACCAATTTATTTATCGTGCTTTTTTTCCCTTTCTTTGACTTCTGGGATTTTCTAGGAGCGACTGTGGGAGCGGACGTAAACTAACCAGGATGGCACCCAGGCTATTCAATTATGCTTACTAATATCAAATTTCTAAGAGCTCTCTGACGCAAATCCTGTGTTGCAATACACAAATCACATTATGATGTCGCAACACAGTTTCTCACTGTACCAGTCTTATGTATAGTTATCTATAGTTGAACGCCATGCTGCCTCTACGGCTATCGACTAGCTGGGTGGATGAACGAGGCCACCAAAAACCACGACCATAGCATGTCCATAACAAATGATACAAAAAAACGGAAGTTTTTCTGCAGTTTCAAGGTCAGTCGCCGGGAGGCCCAAATTTGACCTTGACCTTTGTCTTCCTAAGACCGACCAACATACCAAATATCATCACAATCCATAAAGGCCTTCTTAAGTTATGCTAACCACAAGTATGCGGAAACACACACAGACAGACACACACACAGACAGACCAAAAACAATATTTACATTTTCATGTAATAAGCCCAAGCCAAAATCTCTGCTTGGAGAATATACACGTGGCTAAACGCGTTGACGTCAACTTGGTCACATGCCAAGCGACTATATTTGAGAATATTATAAATGTTTGTCTCCCCAGAGGACCTACCATCTCATGTTACAAGTGTTACCCTGTCGACAACCTTTAGGACGAATTCGTTGACAGCCAGGAGGCCGAATTTCACAAGAGATAGAGTATTTTACATCTTTACATCTGGAAATTTCCCATCACTTGTAATAATTGGATGGGGTTTGGTTACCTGCGAAGATCGTAGCCTCCATAGCATGCCCAAAACTGGGGGTTTTGGGGGGTCTTTGGGAGCTTTTGTGTGCTATTTTCTGATTGCATATAGACAACGTAGCCGGCCTGATTGAATTACCCCAGTTTAGAACTGGGCTGATCAGCAAACAGCCGAAGACCACCACACCCCCAGTTCTGTAAGCCTGCCTACAGAGGCTACGAAGACCGACCGATATCTACAAATCGTTGTTGTGTTGCTGCCGAAAATATCCTTCACTGAGCTCGCAGACTGGTCGGATAAGGTATTCTCCTGCTGTGTGAGGTCGGCCTTAGGGGTCGTTTCAGAACGTCGGACGATCTCTGGTCTTTTCCTAGCAAGGCCACAACAGATCTTTTTTTTTTTTATTCCTGGCGATCGGTTTAGTCTACTCTCCAAAAAGGTTTAGGCATCGGCTTAGGTTTTACCCGCTTTCCTTACTGTACTGGTAGAGAAAGCCAGCAAAACTGGTGCCACTACTGCCTTTCCCAATTTGATACTGTCTTGCAGCCACCGCGAAAGAGATTGCCTTTTTGGATTTGGAGGTTAGGCCACAGCAAGTAAAGTTTATAGATGACATCCTCCGCAGACTCAAAATCTAATGCGAGCGGGCGAAAAAAAAAGCAAAGTCAAAGAAAGCCGAAAAAAAAGAAGGTTCCTACAATATTAGATTTTGACTTAATCATTGTACAGATGGTTTTGATTCAGTGGGAACATCACATATACACAGCCAACATCACATATCACTGCATCAAAGTAAGAAACAAAGCATTAAATCAGAGCCTTTTCTTGCCTCCTCTCTTCATAATTATCTGCCATCCACCTTCCGACATGGCAACAGACATCTTTGCCCATATTCGGCATGTTGACCACTGTCAGAGGGCAACAATTTTTTTTTCCAAAATCAAGCGAAAATTAATGCGCGTGCTGATGTCATCCATAAAAATTACTTGCTGTGGCCTTAATTGCAGCCAAGGAGAATACATCACAGAATCTCTACGATGCAGGAATGTGGAGAATTATCCCCATGGCAACGCTTCTCGTCTTCACAAGCATCCGTACGGAACGCTGCCTACGTGAGGCATTAAAAATAATCCCAAATTTATCTCCATCATAATCTCATAGCAGATGCTATTTTTGGCATATTTTCAAAGTCAGTACTAGAACTACATACTAGAATAGTAATAACATTTGCAAGCAAATGCATAATGTTTACCTTCGGATATGGTCTGCTCTGTTAATTCTTACTCTAAACACATTCACATATATGGTAACAGGAGTCTAAATCCCTCCTAGTATGGAATTGCAACATTATGTAACCCAACACCAGTTACCATGGTGACAAGACATAAACAAATCATGTCATTGGCCAGGTCAGGGGTCGCTGTTTGGAGAAGAAGAGGAAGAAACTGAGGAAAAATTGTTGTTTTCCTTTGGTAAACATAATTCTAAGACCAAGTTTCAAGATTGTTCATCTGATCATGAAATGTCTTGACTCTTCAGAGAATTATAGGCATTCTAATAACAAAGATATTTGGACAAAAAGCACATTTCTGATGTTAAAGTACAAACATTAGATTTCGAAAGTCATCCTTTCAAGTTTTGCAGCTGACTTCTGAGCCATAGAACCTCATAAAATAAAGGAGAACAAGACTGGCAATGAAAACATAAATTGCCATGGCGACGGTGGTTGCTGTTAGGGTTATTGTTTGCATGGCACTGCCATGATTTCATGATTTTGAGGAAGACTTGGTACCTGTCGAGACAGATACAGTGCACTCCTCCCCTGAGTGTATAGTGAACGAGTCCCGGGGTCACAGAAAGTAGGGCCATCTGGGGCAGAAATGTCTTCCCAAGGGTTTCCAGGAATGTGGACATAGATGTGGATCAGAGACATGCCTGTGGACATTCCATTCCTGTGGACAAAATGCCTGTACCATTCCTAGAATTCTTGCAAAGTGTACACAATACTGTACCATTAGGCTCCTCCCTGAGACGTCACCAAAAATTGAAGGAGAGAAAACTGCATGTATACATGGTGAGATATTTTAATAGTTGCTCTACAGACTACTACAATGTTGCCTTTTACTACAGCATGATTATTCATTATCAGTATCATCACCTTCCAAAGTCAACAAACTACTTTTATATACATGAATGCTGAACTTGAAACTTGAACGGTGGTGGCAGTCATACATTTCATACCTGTATGGCAGTTTTAAGTCAGAACATTTGGCACACCCAATAATATTATACACATCACATGGACACTTACTGTGTCTCACGGCTACGCAAGATCAGGGGTGCCAGAGTATACATGTACAGTGCATTTTACAGAATGCATGCAATTTTACGGAATGCAGTGCAATTTTACAGAATACAGTACAATTGTATTAGCATACAGGGCAATTTTACCGAATACAGTGCAATCGTATTAGTATACAATGCAATTTTATGGAATACAGTGAAATTGTATTAGTATACAGTGCAATTTTACTACTAAAATTGCACTGTACATGTATACTAGTAAAATTGTACTGTATTCCGTAAAATTGCACTGTATACTACTAGAATTGTACTGTATTCGTAAACTTGCACTGTACACTAATACAATTGTACTGTATTCTGTAAAATTGCACTGTATTCCGTAAAATTGCATGCATTCTGTAAAATTGCACTGTATACTCTGGCACCCCCGGATGAAGTCTACAAAATGTATACTTCTAGTGTCTGCTCCCGAACTTCAGACAACCTTGGCTGGTCGGTGTGACAGGCTGTACGTTTTCCACAACTATTTCCACTTACTCTGTACTGTACATGTACCTTGAACAGTGTTCTCAGCAAGTGATAATGGTTTACCACTGAAGCCCTTTAAAAACTGGCCTACATTATCCCATCTACCGGTTTTCCAAATGTTTTGTTACATCACATGTTGTCTGTTTCACCAGGTATGAAACAGATTGTACTAGAGAATATTCAACATCAAGTTTGGAGCTGTTTTTCCAAAAGACTAAATACATGTATTTTCCACATTTTGTACATTAGCTACCTGATAATAGTGCAGAAGGGCTCCAAATACCACCTGCATATGCAGGTTAGTGTAGGTAGAATTGGAGCTGTGCAGGTATTTCTGATGTCTACCTGCACTGGTCCATGTACTGGGTTTGATATATAGTGTACATGTAGGTTTATGTGAGTTTTTATTTACTGCATTGACTGTTACCACCTATGAAGTGGAAAACATTTAAAAGAAAATAATGAAAACGGTTTCTGAACAATTTTTAGTATGATCAGTAAATTCTGAGCAGTGCAGGTAAAACTTGTCTGGTTCAGGTAATTTTCAAAGAAAAAAAAAGGTATTTCAAGCCCTGGACAGAGTATCAGACACAATATTCTTCCAGTATGATTTTTAGTTGCGTTCATAGTGGTTTTGGTGGTATTTGAAGACTCAACATTTTTAAAAGACAATACAAACATTTCTTGGCAAGCCCTCACAACTGCTACAAGAAACATTAACTGTAGGTATACAATTAATGGCATTGCATCATCATTTTACTGCTTTTCTTGCACAATAGGTAATAACATAATCATTACAGTTTTGAAACAGGCAAACACACATACATTGTACATAAACATAACACTACATGTATGTGTAGTCTTATTACACAAGCTGCCATATACGTCAGTAAGCTGCAAAAGTATATACCAGTACTGCTGACTTTCCAGTAGGGCTGTGTTTATGTATACTGTATTACAGGTATGGACCTTATTTTTAGAATCATGTACAGGTATTATGGAGTTAACAGCTATCTCTTGGGCTTAGAACAAAAGGGTTTCAAGGATCATTTTGCTCACACGACATAGTACTTTTCTGAAGCACTATGTTACAATCATATCTTCATGATCAAATCTTTACCTCCAACTTTATACAAAACACTGCTTAAAGCTCAAGTCATATTGCCATTCTTTCTTCATTCATATAATTGCCATATGGTCACTGCATATTAGATATATAAATACACATAGCACAACTTCCTTCTACGGGGTTTGTACATGTTTCATTCAAAAATATCACAGCTACACTTAATGATTCAAGCCAATAAAAACTGTGACTTTCTAATGCCTTGATCTGTGTCAGTATTCAATAAGCTGTGTTTAAATATTTGATAGAGCAATGTGGGTGAACCTGAACTCAAGCTTTTTTTCTGGTGTAGTGCACATAATTTACAACTTCACAGACATTTTCTGAAGAAATTATTCTGGGGTTACATGTCATGACTGTCAGTGTGGCTGTACTCACCCTGTAGGAAAACATCAAGATGTCAATCAGCAGTCTTGCTGACAGCAGTCTTACTGACAGCAGACAGCAGTCTTACTGACAGCAGACAGCAGTCTTACTGACAGCAGACAGCAGTCTTATGGACAGCAGTCTTACTGACAGCAGACAGTAGTCTTACTGACAGCTCAGCTCTTGCCAGTCTTGAGCTTGTCAATGATGTGGCAGAGCTTGAGGGCTGGTCCCAGCTTCAGTCCCATGTACTTCATCATCATGTCACTGTTCAGCAACAGCAGGGCCTTCCCATCTATCTCCTGTAAGGGGGAGGGGGGGCAAGAGTTTGTTGACATGAGAACGGTTCACCAGATGTCAATATTCACACCCAGTAGAGGGCAAAATATCACTTTCATGGAAGAATACTACAACTTACATGCTACAAACAACATCTACATCAAAAGTAACTACAAATATGCTCAAGAAAGAAGTGTTCTGATCTGAAGGAAAATTACATGGCACCTAGTGTGAGATCTTGAGCAGTTGGAAGAATAACAATATGAGAAATACACTGATAAGATTCTACAGTTTTACCTGTAAATAACTTATTTGCAACTTTCTTTATGAACCACTAAGCAGTTGAATCCGTGAACCAATAAATTAAATTGGTGTGGCCTATTCTTTCAATTCATCATGGACGTACCTGTTTGCGGAACAGTTCGGCGTACTGTGCCAGTGCGGGGTCGGCGTGTCGGATGTAATGAAGGACTTCCTCCAGACTCCAGTCACCGGGGTCCTTGTCACCGCGGGACGTACTCTCGTACGAGCGGTAGTCAGTTCCAACAACCGTGGTGGTCGAACTGGCAGCTGTACGAACAAAGTACTAAGTGAGCTAATGAAGGTGTTTTTTTTTTGTGGCTGTACTAAGTCACAGCTATGCCCCCTCCCTCTTCAACTCTACAGATACACACACAAACTTTTGCACATGAATTATAAACAGGTCAGTGCCACATGGGGTATTCTCATGGAATTGGTGCTCATTTCTACAAGTTTGATTTTATTTTATTTAACAACTTATTGACAAGGACTAGGGTTATTCATGCACAGTTGAAAATTTGGATACCTCAAATTTCTTGTGCTGAGAATTACAATTTAATCTTGCTTCATAATGACGAACACAGATGAACTTTCAAGATAAGTTTTATGCTACATTTTCTCTAGACCTAAAACAACCTGTCAAAAATTGAGTGTAGAATAGATGAGTGTATACATGTAGCTATATGCAAATCCATTGAATCCTCATATACATGTAAATAAATGCAGCCAATTTTACACAAGATGGCAATAGCTGCGAGACAAAAATATGTGCAGAAAACCCTCAAACACATCTACAAAAGTGCAGGATATAAAAATTTGTTGTACACTATCTGGACAGAACTAAATAGAGTGCCGACCTTCTGTGGTGACCCTTCGCTGCATGCGCGGGGCCTTTGGCTGATGGTGGGTGTCACCGGAGTCAGCTGACCACCTGCGCTTGGTGGCAGTACGGGAACTGCTATCAGAGACCTCAGGATCATCTGTAAACAGAAAATATTACAAAGGAACACTGTTACAGTAAATTCATAGTATATGATAGCTATTTATGAGGTTCAAACTTGCTATAATCTGTTGATAACCATAATATCAGTGGTAAAGTTAAAATATTTTAAAATCCTTCCTGCACCAGATGATGCATAGGGCAATGCCCATCTACAGGTCAACACCCCTTGGGCCACACAGTTGTGCAATCAATATAGCAGGGGGCTAGTCCACTGGTAGTGGTATGTGTTTTCAACCAAACTCTTTGCTGAGTGCAAAGCAGAGAAAGCAGCATGTACCACTTCATCACTGACCTCCTTCACAGAGTAACAAATAAACACATAATGTTATTATCAATGTTTACCAAATTGTTTTTGCTATGTTTCCTCTTCTTCTCCAAACTAAAAAGGTCAATGACCTGAACCAGGCTGTCTGTTACCATGGTAACTAGTGTTGGGTTACATCATGTTGCAATTTTATAGCAGGAGGGATTTAGACTCTTGTCTGACCATATATATGAATGAGTTTAAGTAAGAATTAACTGAGCAGACCATGTGTGAAGGTAAACATTATGTATTTGCTTTGCTAATGTTACCATTCTTGTTTCTACTCACCTCTCCTTGTACACTTGCTGCAGGGTCCCTGCATGGGTGTGGAGGAGAAGAGGTTCTCACAGCACTCCAGCCGCTCACACAGCTGTTCCAGGTAGCGCAGGACAGCTGAGGCTGTCTCACAGCTGGGCAGGGTACAGCTCTGGGTCTGGCCACCAACAGTCGCTATTTGAAGGAAGGAGAATAAAAGTCTATCAAATACACACATGTACTATAGACAGGGGAGATACCGATGGCTACATGACACTTTAGGGCAAACTGCAAATGAACACAACATTAAGTAGACTACCGTTTCAAGTGCAATGCAAGTTTCTGTGGAAGGTGGCAAATTTTGCTACATTGTAGAAGACTAAGTTTAGTTTAATAACATCTCTTTCCAATATTTTTACACACTGATTTTGGACGTCAAAGATGACATCTTGGGCCTGGATGCCATCCTCTGTTGTCTACATGTAGGTAGCTAGCTACAATTGGGAATCGGCAGTAAGTAAGGATGGCACTCAGGACTTCAGTTTTTTTTTTACTTGAACCTAAACATTTTACAAGTCCGGAACCGGTCCAGTGAACCGGTACACAACACTACACCTACCCGACACCACCACCCTGCCAGGACTCTGTCCCTGCTTGATCAGTCCGAACACCACCCGCTGCTGAATGGCGCAGTCGATGCAGCCCTGCGTGACTTCCCGCATCACGTGGCTTGGCAGGGCGGGGCCGAACTGCGACGGGAGGTCCACCAGCTTACGGGGGTTCAGATACGGCCCAGTATCACAGCCGTAGTTGGTGTATACACACACTGAAAAATGTAGGAAAATACATAGAAAAAATTTAGTACAGGCTTCTTTAACAATAAGATTGAGGAATAAAAACTAAATGCCTATTCCATTTGCATGCCTGCAGAACGTACTGCGCCTGTGCGAAACCCACGTTTTTCATGTTTTTTGTTGGATGTTTGGTCACCATTGCATCAGCATTTTGTCCATTGCAGATGTCTTTTTTCCACACAACATTTTAAAACTATAGACAGGACGCTATCTAGAAATACGTAAACCAAACCTTAGACAAGTGCTGTGCATGATACATTTCGGGGATTTGCTGAGGTGCAGTATGTTCTGCTAACACATGCTCTATTCCATAGTGCTAACAATATATCAGACATCTATACCTGCTTCAGGTCTACCTGACCACTGGGCAAACATGCTGGATCTAAATAAGGCTCTGCTGCAACTGCAACAATTTCTTCTTTAATGTGTCCGGAATCCCAAAATTAAAAAGGCCTTTGTATAGTCTAAGATGTTTTGATTGTATTCCTTCTGGAGGAGATACTCGGTAACAGATGTCTCCAGCTGCCTTCTTTGGTAAGACAAATAAACAAGTCCATTATCAAGATGTATTGTTTGTACAACATGTCTGGGTGAAACTATGCCGCCATATAGTGATGCATAACTAAACCCAATTTTAGGTTCAGGTCCGGATTCAAGTCCAGAGGTTTAGGTTCAGTTCCGGACTTGTTAGTCCGGACCTAAACCCAAAATTGCATGTTGGCAACCCTGCAATGTTGTCTGGGTGAAACTTTGGCCACATAACATGGAGGCCGATACTTGACGATGCCCGATGGCAATGCTTTCTTCATTTTGCAGCAAAGATTTTGCAATCTACGGAAGGTTTTAGGTGGTTTGGAAAGAAAAGGGGTATGTGAAATGGTCTTTTATGGTAATAAGTCTGGACTCGGTTCTTGACTTTTAGGTTTTTTTGGACTCGAACCTAAACATTCTTACAAGTCCGGATCCAAGTCCAGTGAACCGGTATGCATCACTACCGCCATATAATTATGGAGGCTGACACATGACAATGCCCAATGGCAATGTTTTCCTTTTCTTCACTTTGCAGCACAAATTTGTAGATCTATGTAAGGTTTTACATGTAGGTGGTTCAGAATGAAAAAGAGAATGTGAAATGATTTTGTTGTTTTTTGTCAGTCCAGAACTGGTGCCCAATGTTTAGGATTTTTTGGACTTGAACCTAAACATTTCTACAAGCCCGGGACCAGTCCAGTGAACTGGTACATAGCACTACTTGCAATTAGATCCTCGGGCATGTATTTCTGTATCTGTATAGCCGGTATGACCGCGCTTTAGCGTAGCACACCAGCTTCGCAGGCACGCTGGCTACATTACACTGAACAACTTGTTACACCTAACCCTTGCACATACTACTCTAAACATTCTTTAAAGCTATCTAATGACAATGCCCCTACTGTACTTTGCGACAGAAAGTTCCACACTGCGATAGTTCTAGGAAAGAATAAACTCTTCAATGAAACTTACTAGACAGTGTTCTGGGTGTACTTGTGTCAGGCTCCACCACTGTGACGTTGGGAGACGGAGGTTTGTCCTGGACAGAAGAGGTGTCGCTGGCAGCATCCGAGTCGCCCTGGAACAGCGAGGACGACTTGCGTTTCCTCTTCCCCTCCGATGATGATGATGATGAAGAGGCGGCCGTGGCGTCCTTGTCTCGGGAGGGGGGCGGTGGAGGGGGGATGGGCCTGCGCATGCCTGCACTTACTGTAACAACAAATCAGCACAACTCAACTCAGCACACATGTACGTAGACTCACTCACACTCACAATCAGTTGTTCCAAATCTCGCAAGGGTTAGACGTACTTGCACATTGATGCTGAGGCTTGATGGTAACCGGCCATTTATGATATAGGTTGAGGTGATGGAAGTTAAATTGTCAATCCTTGGTCGACCTCGTGGGTTTTGGCCTTCAATGTTTGTGTGCAATATTTCAAGAAATGTGAATATTTGAAGGAATGTTCACAGAAAAGTTTATTCCACTGAGATCTTACAGGTAGCCTGACTGTTCCTGGCTGTTATTCTTAGTTTGTAGATTGTCTGCAATTTTAGTAAATAACATCTAATCACACATTCAGTTCAAATTCTAAAATGGTTTTTACAAAAAAAACTGTTGTTGTTCCCCTAATTTTTTTTTATCTTTTTTTTTTCTTTTTTGCAGTTACTGTAGAAGAAAATCTATAATAGGATTTTACAATGTACATCGAATATTTAAAAGCGACCTCCAGCGGTTGTAAACATAAAGACATACATGTAAGAATGGCTATAGACATATGAGTGGTTGATTTGCCATCCACAGTAGCCAATCACTTTTCCTGTTTCCATGCACATTAGGATTGCCATAGAACAACCAATTGTATATCCTGATTGGCTATTGTTTTTTCAAATCAACCAATCAAAATTTCCTCTAGTACATACCTTTATTTCCAGGAGGATGCAGGTTGTGTCCACTGAGGGCACACCAGCCTACGGGGAAGATGTCCGTGTTGTCGTAGTCACACCACAACCGATTGCATACATGTATCCTGATTGGCTATTGTTTTTTCAAATAAACCAATCAGAAGTTCCTCTAATACAGACCTTTATTTCCAGGAGGCTGCAGGTTGTGTCCACTGAGGGCACACCAGCCTACGGGGAAGATGTCCCTGTTGTCGTAGTCACACCAGTAGTCGAACGCTCCCAGCCAGCCGTCGAACGTCACGTGTATTCTCTTCCCGTCCACGGCGCCGATCGTAGCGGGACAGATGAGCTGAGGATTCTTACGGTCCACCGCTTCCAACTTCATCCCCACCTCAAACAGGTTGGACTTGGGAAACGGAGGCTCCTGAAAGAGAGGCCAAATCTTTTATAGCATCAACCAAAAAAGGAGCTATTTCGCTGAAAAACATGCCAGATATTTAGTGCCCAAGCATCTATATCCCACTCAAAAATCAAGACCATAGCATGTCCACAGCATGAGATATCATACCCATGTACCCTGTTGCAGTACCTTACAAAACTGCTAGAGTACCCAAAATTGACCTTGGCCTTCCTTTTTCCAACCTTATCCTACCTACCAAATATCATAAAGATATATGCACCACACCCCAAGTTATAACCGATTACAAAATCAGCAACCCCTAAATATGGACAGGTGTACATGTACCTTAACAAATAGCCTTCTGACGAAGGTAATAAAATTTTCACAAGTTTGATTGTTAAGGCTGGGAGAAGAAAAATTTGCTTCACATTGCTGTTCTGTATCACAAAAACTAGGAGAACAAAGGTTTTACATGAGTTGACCACAAGTATTAAGTAAATATTGAAATCTGAACATTAATATATACCTTTTGGAATATCCTGGCAGGGGCCATTTCAGCTCCATTCAAGGTTCTCAACAGGAACATGGGCCAAGATGAGGCATTCATTCGGAAACCTGCAACATATCAAGATCAAAATCATTCTCAAATACTTACTGCTAAAATTCTACATGACTAGATTCAGTTATTATAGACATATTGTACAATTGAGAATCTATAGTACTCAAACACATGTACTGTAGACCTATCTTACTTTTCTTCACAGATATTTTACATTTGAGTTGAGTTTTCAACAGGAAGGTTGCATTTCTGTTCAACCTGGCTGAATGCCTGCAGTTTGTATGAGTGTCACTGAGAGGCAGTGCTGTACAGGGTACACACCTAGTGGCGGTTGCAGCAGACCTCCCTGTTGTTCACAGGTGCCAATTGGCTTCAGATCGTTGGAGTCCACCAGACGCCAAAAGTCATTCTTGTCATCGCTTCCGTCCAGCCGAAGACGTAACCTCGGACCCTAAGAATTAACAGACATTCTTATTCGATTTCCAAATCTATAACTTTAAATTGTTTTTAAGTAGTAACTCGAATGAAACCTAATTTCCAAGGAAGAATGATGTCTGTCAAGCAAAAATGTGACGTGTGCCTGATAAACAAAAGAGGGGCTGACATTCTGATGTTGATTATTTTTCTGTTGTCCCAGAAATGTCCTAAAGTGTCTTTTTAGTTGTTCCAGCCTAAATTTTAGTGGTCAGTGGCCATCGGACCACCTTTAGGCCACAGCAAGTAAATTTTATGGATGACATCCTCTGCAGACTCCAAACCCAAAGCGAGAGGGCAAAAAAAACAAGGCGGGCCAAAAAAAACAAGGTTCACACACTTTGAAATTTTGACTCATTGTACAAAATTTATAATGCTTTTGATTCAGTGGGAACATCACATATACACCACAGTCAGCGTGTATCACCGCATCAAAGTAAGAAACAAAACATTGAATCAGAGCCTTTTCTTGTCTCTTCTCTTCATAGTTATCTGACATCCACCCTCTGGCATGGCAATAGACATCTTTGCCCATTTTCGGCATGTTGACCACTGTCAGAAGGCAACAAAATTTCTTCTTTTTTTTTCAAAATCGGGCGAAAATTAATGCGCACGCTGATGTCATCCATAAAAATTGCTTGCTGTGGCCTTAGTTTTGAGCCCTGCTGCCCACCTGCATCCCGATAACTGTTGCGACACAAGTAGACGACAGGTTACGGGGGTCGCGTGCCTCCAGCTTCATCCCCACCTTGAACTCATTGGGAGGCGGATAAACAGCCTGCAGGAAACAAACAAACAACACCAGTGTAATACTGCGTTAGCCTTCAACAGAACAAACAAGAAAACAACAACAAGTGTGAAGCAGCCATTCCTAATGTACTGAGCCGTACTCGGCAGAACGTAATGCACTTGCGTGAAACCCATGATGTGTTATGCACAATGCTCACTTTGGCAGAACGTCTCATTTAACGACATCCTTTCTATAGTTTTCAAACGCTGTGTTGGAAAACACATAGTCTGCAACGGGCAAATATCTAAAGCAATGTCGAGGAAGGTTAGACATCCAGGTAATACGATATGCCAAAAAGCAGTTACTCAAGCAACTGGATTTTTGGCGTATCTAATGCAATGTTGACCAAATATCCAACAAAAACCATTTAAAATCCGATCTTAAAAGTTCATCTGTGTTGGCAGAAGTCATTATGAAACAGATGACGGGGGGCGCCACAGACTTTCTGCAACCTATGATCCACTGCTCACGGAGTCACGTGTGTTATCTGCGTGATGTCACGGAAGCGGTGGATTGCTCATTCCTTGACAAAGACTGGAGTTGTACAGTCGAAAATTTGGTCGTCCAAATTGAGTCCAATTTCTTGTGTTGGAAATTGCAGTTCAAACTTGTTTCATTGTCTTCGTCAGAAAGACTATGGAATTGTCCAGCCACATGTGGATGACTGCGGATTTAGCGGAATAAATCTTGAAGGCATGATTCGACGTCCATGATTTTTGGCAGGCAGATTACCGTTGTTGAGGCCAAAGTCAAGTGCAAGTTTGGACTTCGTGGGTCACTGCAGTGGACCTTTTGTGTTGCTTGTTAGCAAAATAACTCGAGTATATTTAAATTATAGATGTTCATGATTTATGGTAGGCAAGCTACCATTATAGAGGCCAAGGTCAAGTTCGAAAACGGGCCTGGGTTTCACACAGGTGCAGTACATTCTACACACGTGTTCCATTCACAAAGTGAACAGGTTATAAAGTTGCTGTATGGCTGTAAGAACATTAGTCCAGCTCACCTTGTCTCCTCCCGGTAACACACGGGCTCTCTGTGGTGAAGAGAGGCACTGGTGTTGGGGAGGGGCACACCATGTATCCTCAACCCTAACCCCACCACACACCTACTTTGTTTTCTTTTTGTAATTTTTTCATCTTACATTGGGACTGGACTGTGTACTGCAAATCACTTGCGGTGGCAAAATTTTCTGGTCTAAGAAAAATGGACATGTTCCAAGAACTGTATGTTCATAGTGGCGGCAGGTGCAGTAGAAAGAAAGTCTGCAAATTATTTCTTCGGGGTAATGATTTTTCATTTTACAGAAGTGACCGTGAAAACCGTGAATAGGCAAATATCACCGTACTTTCGAAGCTGTAAACTTTGAAAACGTTGCTTTGTATACTTACAAAACAAAAACGTATATGCTGGACAACCTAGCATCTCAGACAAGAGTTGCACATGAAACAAGACTTGCATAGCCAGGGTGCAAGAGTATTTCCAAGTCTAGGGTATTTCCAACCCTGGATTACAATTAAATGTAGAAGTATGGGTACCACTAAGTCCCATCTGGCAGGACTTGGTGGCAACTGGGTAGTTATGGAGGTGGGAGGGGGGCAGGATTGATATACATCAGAGTCAAGAAGCATTTGTCAGTAAAATCCTTCTTAAGTTTTGAAGAGTTCAGTGTTCAACATTAGCAGCCAAACTATATTCTGCTTCTACTTGTTGATTACTTCTGAATCAGTTTACAATAGCAAAAAAATTGCACTTTACAGCAATTTGCGATGCAATTTTTACAGCAAAAAAATTGCACTTTGCAGCAATTTGCGTCGCATGCCATGCACCAGTTTGGACAAGGTTTGTAAAGCGAATTATGTCTACAAACTGTTCTTGCTTACAAGTAGAATGTATGCATGTCTGTAACTGCATAATGCAAATAGCATTACATACAGCGACAACCTTTTTCAGCATGACTGGATATCTATTGCATAGGACATTGTACAGAATGTAAAACCCACTCACCTGTTTGAAACAGTGTTGCGGAGCTGCAATTGCACCTGTCTCTCTCAGGTACTCCCCCCAAGAGAAGTTCCCTGTCAAACAAATAGTACACATGTGTAGATATGTGAATATTGTACGTTTGGGAATGCATCCATAGCAGCAACACCTGTGCTGTAGTGCAATGTGAACCAGTCAGAATTGCCCTGGGGAAGGTGACAGACGGTCACCGAAACGTCAGCGGAATAAAACGTCTTGGTTGTGTAAAAAGAGTCTCCTTAGTCTCTTTATTCTTACTTTGACTTAAAAAAAAACAGCAAATTTATCACTTTCACACTTTACATTGTTTCTATAATCATTTGCTGCCTTCAATCCCAACATGCATTGCCATGATAGCACCTGGCAGCCATATTGAATTCACTCAGCTAAAATTACCCCACGAAACAGTCATGAAATACATGTAGATTTTCAGAGAACAGTCAAGGTTTAAGCTGGTATCATAGATGAAAATTGCTATGAAAAAAGACATTTTCACCCCTGTTTTGCGGGGTCATTTAAGGTGGGATAATTTCACTATGGCTGCCTGCTGCTATCGTGACACAGATTTTCAGAAAACTGCAAAAAGAACCATTTGCCTGAACATTTACATTGGATAAATTCAGCTTTTGGTTGGCATCACATATTGCTAACAATTTCTATCTACAAATACTGTAAATTATTCTATATTCGCTGTACTTTATTCAGAGTTTTTGCGGTCACTTCTGTACAAACAAATAATTTGCCGACTTTCTTTGCACCTTCTGTAAGCATGTCCATTTTTCTCAGACCGCAAAGTTTTCCTACCTTTACTATAAAGTGATTTACTGTATACAGAAAACACAGAGAGAATGGCCAGGATTTCTGTGATGTTTACCCTGAGAGTACATGTTGACGGGTGTAGGGTGGCGCCCGCGCGGCTTGTGTGGTCGTCCTTCTTTGTCCTTTCCCTCGTTCTTCTCTTCCACGCGGCGCTGGAAGATGGCGAGACACTCCTGGCTACACAGCCGCTTCATCTCCCCATCCACCTCCAGGGTCTCTGGGTTCTTCACAACCTTGTCACAGATGGGACAGGTGCCCTATGGGGGAGGGGGGCACAGAACAAGGTCAACCAATGACATCAACCATCATAGAGTCATTCATGATTTTGCCAACAATAACAGTTTACAAAGATGTAAAGGCATAGAAATGCTTACAAAACAAACACCAGTATTCTATTAGCACATCAATTTGTACAACTTTGTCTGCACTGCACCTGCACCCAGATTTTTCACGGTTTCCATTGGATGTTTGGTCAACGCTGCTTCAACATTTTAACCATTGCAGGCGATAGCTTTTCTGACACAAGCACAACATTTGAAAACTAAAGATGGGATGTCATCCATAATACACGAATACAACATTAAATGTTATTTTCTGCCATAAAAGTGCTATGCAGAATACATTACAGGTTTGAACCACTCATACCAGGAAGAACCCCTGCTCTTTTCAATTCAAGAATGCGGTAGGATCTTTAACATGTGTGAGGTGTGGCTCTTCTCAAACACAGGACCCTCAGCTTTACATCCCATCCAAGAGCACGTCCCTAACCAAAGTTAGACACTCATTTTACCTGAGTCAAGTGAGGAAATAGGTGTATAAGTGCCTTTCCCAAGAGGGCAACAGAGAGGCTTGCCAGGGATTCCAACCTTCAGTTTGTACCCTAACCACAAGACCACCTTACCACATTTGGCAGAACAGCATGAAACATAGGGCTGTAGCTCACCTTGAGATATGACCTCTTGTAAGCCTGTAGGCACGTCTCGCAGCAGAAGTAGATTTTCCCATCCTCCAGGTGAAGACTTAGCTTCAGCTCCTTGGAGGATTTCAGCTCCTCGCACCAAGCGCACTGCCGTGCCTTGTGCCGCCCCATCTCTGAGCCTGGGGTAACAAAGTGGGAAAAAAACTTAAAACAACTTCCCTTCGTCTGAAATGTACTAGTCTTGCTAGTTCTCCATCCAGAACGATAAGTTAATATTACCAGCATAGACTATAGTACAGATCTCGATTCTCTTCTTTCCGACACAGTTTGCATATGGTTTTAACTCATTTATTTCTCGTGCAAACGTTGTGTAAATCTTGTGGTTAAAAGTCGTATAAAAGCCACGTAATACATCGTTAAAACTCATGCAAAAGCCGTGTAAACCATGTGCATTACTTAGCTGCCATCACATGTGGCTATCTACATGTACTGTATAACGGATAACCACACATGATTAATTACTAGTATACGAACATCTCATTTTAAGATAAAAATAAAATCTCATTTTACATGTGAAATCAGTGATTTAAATGAGAAGCGCTCCGCATTTGCAACTCTTTTGCATGCATTTAATGCACAGCTTTTAATAACGTTTAACTTTTTTTTTATCACAAGTTGCACGCACGTAGACATAAACTTATTCAAGATATGTACTGTAAGAGAAAGGAGTGTAGTAGAAAAATGCAAGTAGCAAGGACAAAACAATCACAAAACTGAACATCACAGAACATGTACATGTACAATGTACAGTAATGTATCACGGCTAATCACGCCAAAGAATGGAAATTTTCACTGATACATTATTCTTCATATCACAAGTCACAATTCTACATTGAACCACTAACAACATGCAAAGGTTTACATCATTAATTAGTCCACACAATATGAAAATGTAATACTTATACAACAACTTGACATCTACATTTGAGTAACTTACCCTTTTTCCCCGAGTGTTTTTTATTACAGCAATATTCCGTGTATGTACGTATTGTTACTAGAGCGATAGTCCTTTGCAAGCCACACAAAAGAAGAGATACATAGAAGTGAGAAAAGCTGAGAAAGTAGTTTAAAACAATATGCTTTAATCACAGTGCACATGTTACTGTGTTAGAAGGAAGGCTAGGCCACACCAATTTAATTTGTTGTTTCTCGGATTTTTTTAGAAAAAATATGAAGCGACAGGGCGAAATTAAAAAAAAAAACAGGCCAAGGCACCCCATGATAGCCGAATGTTACAATATGAGCCATGAAGTGAACATACCAGGCTGGTTTATAATTAAAACAATAGATTTTGAACTTTTAATGAAACAAAATTGCATTGGTACATTGAAAAATTATGACAACTAGGAAGAAAACGACTTTCTTCAACCGTTGGGACCAACAGTTGATTTAGAACAAAAAAAATTTTTTTCTTTTTTTTTTTCAAATCAGAAAAAAATGGACAGGACAAATCCGAGAAACAACCAATTAAATTGGCGTGGCCCTATGACCCAATTTACATGCAGCTAAATCCTGACAGTATGAAAAGTACATACTTTTGCAAGTGAAAGAAAATAGCAATACATAAATTTTTGTGTGCATGTAAATTGGCATGCTTTGACATCTATAATATACATTCAGATCATATGCCAGCCCTTGAGCAAGTTGAGGTACTAGTAACATAAGATCTGAACACATGTTCTTGACGTACATCAAAGCAGGCTGATTTACACGCAAAAGAAATTGACAATTGCAGTTTTTATACATTCGTGTGCATTAGGGCTGCGTACCGGAAAAACCAAAATGTTGGTGGACCGGTTTTTTGGACCGGAACAAAAATTCATACTTGATCACTACACACGAGGAGGCCTGCCAGGAAAATGAACATCCAGCGTTAAAATAAAGAGATTTACCTTAGTTTACATCTCTGAGAACTAGTGAGAAGTGAGATAGGAAACCTAGTTGTATCATCCATGGTTATATTTGATTTTCTTTGAAAGATACAGGACAAATGGTCAACACTTTATTCATGTTTCTGTCATTATTAAAGAATTTCAGTAGAACATGTGACGTGCGTGAATTTTCAGGTACAGGTACAGGTCCGGACCTGGACCTAAACCTCTGTACCTGTACCTGTACCTGATGTTACGAAAAGGTACGCAGCCCTAGTGTGCATACATAGTTTTTGTACTGTCAGGTTTTTGCTCTCGTGTGAATCAGGTGTAAGATTTCATGTGCTTTAGGTTATCTCGTTGGGTTTTGTATATAACCCAATTGACAACCTGTAAAACTTTCGTTTCTTCAGAAGTAGAATTCCCAACAGGAAGCAACAAGACTTAGTCCATCTGCAGGCTAAACTGTAACAGATCCTAAAACGTTGCTCTAGGTGGGTGGCCAATTTGACACTGATGCTTCGCTAAGTTCGGACATTCTGTACTGGTCAGTCCGGAAGCTGACCAGCCCACACCAGACGTTGATTACCTAGCGGTTCTTGGCCCACGCTGTGTCCAGGTAGGGTGGCATTGAAACTGTCTAATTTATTAGGGCACACACGTACACATGTAGGTCTGCATGTCTGTGGTCAACTTTTAGCCTCTACCAAGCTATCGGGAGGCAGTTGGAAAGAGTAGAAATTGGCCAAATAGAGAGATAGCATGCCAAGGGAGTTGGTCTGCTGGAGAGAACAGTTTGCCGCTGACTCGAAGCCTGTGCGGAGTAGCTACAATCAAACGGTATAAAAGTAATCCCCTCATTATTATTATGAGGGGATTTCCAGCCGCCTCCTGAAGCCTGGTAGAGGCTTTTCTTACCAGTGCTTAATATAACAGTTTGTTTGATGGTAAGAAGTCTGTCTCAGACACACAGTGTAAAATAAAATACTTATTGGATTGGTGTGAAGAACTTAAGAAAGCACCACTTTTTAAGACTTTAAACTGCAAGACGAACAGTAGGTAAAATATGCAGAGTGATAAATTTTGACATACATAAACTATCAACGTTCAACACTGTAACACCAATGTACTGCAATGTAGTAGACACTAAGGAGCTAAGAATACATGCACATGTCATTAAATGTCCACAATTGTAGAAGAAGTGCAATGAAAGATAAATTTTGACAATGAATAATTAAAAAAAAAAACCTTGAGCACTCTATACTTACTTACTAAATGTTATGTAAGATTTTCATGAACTGCAATGTTGTAGACACTAAGGAACTAAGAGTAAGAATACAATGTACATGAGGTTAAAAGTGAGAAATTGTAGAAAAATTGTAGTGCAGTATTTTTTGACAAACATATTCTTTATTAACCTTGAGCACTCTACCCTACTAAATGTTACTTTGAATACACTAGGTTTAAGTTACGTGTACATACCTATTGTCGGTGTATCTGTTCCACTCATGGTGAATTCGTACGGGTCTGGGTCAGGCCAACAGTCCCAGTTCACATTCAGCATCGCTGAATAAATCCCTGGAGGACAAGAAGACAAACCAACATCACCATCATGTTTCGGGGGGAAAAGTCATGTTTGATCATACAGAAAAGCCATTTTTCAACCAGCTGTTAGCCCAAACCAATTTAATTTGTTGGTTCTCGGATTTTTTCAGAAAAAAATACGAAGCGACAGGGCGAAAAAAAAAAGATAAAAACAGGTCTAGGCATCCTATTATAGCTTCAATTGCTTCGATAGGAGCCATGAAGTCAACACAAAAGGCTGGGTTAATATTTAAACAATAAATTTTGAACTTTTTATCAAACCACAGCATTGATATAGAGAGAAAAACTGTAACAACTAGGAAGGTAAGGACTTTCCTCAACTGTTGGGGGCAAAATATGAGCATAATTGAGTTGATTTAGAACCAGAATCTTTTTTTTTTGCATATCAGAAATCCGAGAACCAACAAATTAAATTGGTGTGGCCTCAGTACCTGCCCCTCTATAACAGGAAGGATAAACTGTGGAGATTATTTACAGTACAGCTTGCGTTAGAATTAACGGGTAACGCGTTACTCACGCGTTACTCACGCGGTACGCACGCGGCATTTACGCGGTACTAACCCGTCACAGTAACGCGTGAGTAACGTATTTCATGCGTCCGAGTTCTGCTGAAGCTTCTCGTTTAAATTATATTAATACTGCGTGAGTCACCCGATATCGCCGCATTTTATGGTGTGTGATTAGTGCCCCGCCCTGGCCCCGCCTACACGACGTGCCCGGTCGGCTTTACCGGTGCGAAAGTCGGCGATTTCTGCAGGAATTGGCTCCTTTTAATATGCAGCCGCCCGCTATATGATAATCTCTATTAAACGTCACCCCGCCTGCTGGTTTTCCTAAAACACAACGCATCTCCCTGAGGTCATATATTGACCCGCAAAAGCCACGAGCAACGCACGCCGGCGGCACTTGGTATGATGGTACATCCTACAGCAACTCAGCGACAAAACTGTAAAGAAACACCATGGTCCAAAAATGCTCAAAAAAAATTCCAATATTACATGGCGATTATTTCCTGTTATTAAACACCCACGCTAATAAGACTGATTTTGGGCGGGTGGCAGACCGCCCCACTCGGGAACTGAAAACTTGTGAGGGAAATACTGATACAATGGGCGCACCCCATTTTCGGCGTTTCGTGTGACAAAACTAAATGCATCTTACACTACACCTTATATATATTTTTCTTCACTTCAGGTTGATAGTTGTTTGAAATAAAATCTAGTAGGTCTGATAAGCGCTTGTTGTGTTTTTATTTGCCCAAACCATGCATGTTTTCCTGTCGGCGGCGCCGGTAACTTTAATCCTCGATCCTCGGGGAAGCGGGTCACCCCACCGACAGCATTGAAAGGTAAGACGGCAGTGAAACGTAAAACTGTACCGATAGTGACGAATCAAGTTTTGTGAGGAGGTAGAAATTCAGTGGAAAAGACAAATTTCTGATTTTATTGTCATCTCAAATATCATTAAGCATTGGGGCTTTACCCCGAATATCGTGCGATTTGAATATTTTTCGGTCGGACAAAAACCATTTCAATTTAAACCACGCACCAAAAACAAAAAGTCATTGTGGGGAAGCAGGTCTAGGAAATTTGTTGGCGGTGGAAACATTGCCGAAAATGATGCGGTGTATTTGAGCGTGAACTGGGACAAAAACGCAAACATTCGTAAAAAATATACGCACTAGAGGGATATTTCTGTCAACTATAAATTTCTAACGTAATTTGGGGAGTTTTCGACAAATTATTTGCACAATGGATGCCGTCCGTGCAGCTGCAGGGCGGCAAAATATACAAATCGTCAGGCGGTGTCTCTGGCTGGGCGGCGCATCTGACTCACAACACCACTCTTTGCGGCCTGGCTGGTGGGCGGGTCCCCGTCTGTGCGCTGTGATTGGCGCGCCAGAACGCCACGTGGTCTGTCGGCGCCGGGGAGTCTACCAGCGCCACTGCTCACTGCTGTCTACGTGCGGTTTCTATGGCGACACGGCGTGGGAACGCCCGGCCCAACACTGGGGGCCTGCATGCCCTGTTTCGTAAGGCGTAATCAGGCCTTTTCTTTATTTAATAGTCTTCGTAAACCGTAGACAGCCTTCCCAAAAATCAACGTAATTCGTAATTCGTACATTAGCCACAAAGCGTTAAGTCGTAATGAGCTCTGAAACTTTAACTTTATAGCGAAAATTTTGCGTAATTCGTAATCACTACCCTCCATGCAGGCCCTCAACACTGCGTGGCTCACGAAATGTATCAAAATTTGAGGCGTAAAGAACCCTTGAATTATGCTTCGCCCCCTTGTTCTCCGTACGTCAAAAAATAAAGAACTTCTTGAGTGGCGATATGGCACGTGGATGTGTTAGATTTTTAATTAGATCTGAGATAGCGCGGGTCGGGTGACATCAAAAGCCGTCCACGTCGCAAGGTCGGACACAAAAATTGTTCAAGAAGGTTGTATTACTTTGCTATCGTTCTGTACCTTATTAAGCCACCAGATTTCCGATATTAAAAAAAAAAATTAAGGGACCACGTAGTACAAATTGACAGCGTGCAGTCTGAGCAAAATATAACCGGCCAGTCTTGACGCTCTTTATGTAAGAAAAATGTAAGAAAAATCAAAGGTGCGAGAAACACTGTCGCATACTACGCGACTTTGTAGTAAACAAATAGTCCACTTTGGCCATGGTATTTTTGTGCCCCGTGAGGTGTACCAAGTGCGCGGGCGGTGCGTAACTGGCGGGTTCAATGACCTGGAATTAGATGCGTTCAAGCTTGACAAAATGGGGTATCTTGAAAGTGAACCGCCGAAAAATTGATACGTCAAACGCGGGTTCCGCCCGAAACATCCAAACTCCGTTACAAGCATATTGTACGGTGCGTTTACGCGCATATCTACACGAGAATTGCAGGACTTTTAAACGTGTTTTGAACTATCGAAGCAATGGCCCGATGGCGCACCCAATGGTGCGTTACAGTGACGCATTCTAACGCACTTATTTTTTCCTTCTCTATTTGCGTCATCGCTTCGTAATCGCTGCGTTAGCGTTACGTGATCGCCGCGTTAGCGTTACCTCGTGATCGCGTCACCCGTTAATTCTAACGCAAGCTATACTGTATGGCCTGACATGTCATGATAACCACACCATCCTGTGGCTCACTTTGAACAGCTCATTAGACCCTGGCAGTGCCCATCTCTGTCCATATACCACCATACAGGACACCTGTTTCTACTGAAGTCTTCCTCTGATCTAGTCACGCAAGTACCCACTCAAGGCTCACAAGGGAGGGCCCGCATGCCCTTTTCCGTAGAGCATAATCTGCCATTTCAATTCAATGTAGAGCGTAATTTGCTGTTTTGATTCCACGTAATGCGTTGTAGATAGCCGGAATTTTCCATAAAAAAACATAATATAGGGAGGCTTCCTGAATTAAAGCGTAATACACAGCCAGCTCTCAAAATTTACCATAGAGCGTTGTCTGGACCCCCCATGCAGGCCCTCAAGAGGCAGTAATTGAACAAGTGCCTCTGGAAACACTTGTAAGTTTGTTCATTATTTTGCTCCTGGTGTATTGGAAAATTCTTCTACATCATACTAGTATTTCCTTCAACAGTTCTAATATTTCAGGTAACAAGTGTACTCCACTTCAGTATAGTATAACACATTCAGTTTTGTACCACAACTTCAAAACAAGCTTCGTAAGACCAGACTGTAAGGTTTGAACCACTCACACCGGGAAGGACCCCTGCTCTTTTCAATAAATGCGTTGGGATCTTTATATCTCTCCTCAAACATGGGACCTCTGGCTTTGCGTCCTATCCAAAAGGACATCCCTAACCACAGCTACATGTAAGTCACCTGAGTCAAGTGAGGAAATAATTGGGCCAGTGCCAGGGATTTGAACCCAGAACCTTCAGATTCTAACCACAAGACCACCTTGCTAGTCTTTACAAAATAACAACATATGCTTTTAAAAGTATGTTCCTCGTTCAAGAGAAAAACATGACAAAGTGCACTCCTACCTTTTTTTGTACATGACCAAGTTCAAATACAGTAATTATGAAACATCAAAGAAAGAAATATAGACACAGTACAAAACTGTTTTCTTGTGCTTAGAACAGTTACGATTGCATACATCAACTGTAGCATAACAATTTTCAATTTCTTTGAAAAAAAAAAAAGATTGCTATTGTTATTCCAGAAGTGTAATTATACAACCCATCTTGGAATCATTCAAATATACAAAATTAGTCTGGGCGTAGTCACCATTAAAAAGTTGCATGTTTCTGTGCAGTGTCAAAAGAGAGTACTAGTTCCCTAAAAAGAGTACATTGAAGTAGGAAAATAAAAGTTCCTTTGGCAGACCAACTCCCCTGGCATGTTATCTGTCTATTTGACAAATTTCTACTCTTTCCAGCTGCTTCTGAAGCCTGGTAAAGGCTAGAGCCCACCTAGCCTGGTAAAAGAACAATCCTACTTCAGCCAGATTTCATTTATACAAAATACAGTATATACATACAATGTACAAGCCTGACATATGATCTAAAGCAACTGCATACATATGAATTGTACATGTTAGGAGAATAGATTGCTAAATAGCCTCTACCAGGCTTCTAAGACTTAGTAAGAGTAGAAATTGGAAATTACACTGTACTCCTTTGGCAGAGTAACAGTAGTAACACCCCTGACATGTTATCTGTCTATCTGGTCAATTTCTACTCTTTCCAGCCACTTCTGAAGCCTTGAGGCCACTGTTGCTAAGATGTACAAGGTAACTTCTGGGGAAAAAAACTACTAGTAGTTTCTACCATGGGGATGCAAAATATACTTCAAACTAATTCCTTTGGCTTATCATTCACCCTACCAATTTCTAGTATTTTTCCAAGCAACCCATAGGAGTCAGGTACTAGTGGTAGAGACTTGGGGAAAAAGCACAAAACAAAAGTGAAGAAAATGAAGAAACAGACCTTGAGTTAAAACCCACGAAGAAACGTAATCGGCAATGTCCGCCACGCTGGAACAAGTTTGCGCACTGCTACCAGTTAGAAAATACCAGGCAGTGTCTGGAGTAAGTACACTTGCTCAGGCCGAATGTTGTGTGTGCGCTGCTATCACTGCGCGGTACCACCTCTCATATAGCCCCTGTTTCCTCAATGCAGGACCACCAAAGGCAGATAGGCCATAAACCACATCCCTAACCATGCCTGTTGCCAAGGGAACGCCGGCAAGTGAACAATACTGGCGTGTGGGCCAGTCTAGACACTTTGATGGCCTTGTTTGGCCACTGGACAAATTGGGCACATCAAAGAAGACAACGGCCGGAACAAATACATGGGCTACACAGAACAGGTCCCCTCTGGAATGAAATCCCCTCATTTCTTACAAGACAAACTTTGAATCCTTTTAATTTCTGTACAGCAGTTTTCTCTTTGGATAGTGTTTTTTTTTTTCTCTTAGGGAATGCGCAAACCAGTCTTGCAAGGTGCAGCTTTACGATGTGTCATACTTGCGTGTGAAGATTAATTATGAAAGGGTCGATTTTTGACACCTTTGCCACATGTCAAAGATACTAGAAGTCACCTTTTATATATTTTTCTATATGTAGAAAAAAAAATCAAACAGAAATTTGTGGAGTCAAGTACTGTACATATGATACTGGACAAAGCTTTCAAAGTAGAATCTTAGGAGAATCTCCAAGCAGATCTTTTGCAAGACAGTATCAAATTGGCAAGACAGTACCAAATTGGCAGGGTGTATCCAAAGCTGGGGTACAGAAAGATACCAGTATACAAAAGAAAAAGTTTGTAAAAAATGCCTAAAAATATGTCAATGGAAGTCAAAGCCTAAACCTCTACTGGATAGCCTCTGTAGCAGGCTTATAGAACTGGGGGTTTGGTGGTCTTCTGCTGTTTTCTGATTAGCCCAGTTCTAAAAACGGGGCTAATTCAACCAGGCCGGCTATGTTGTCTATATGCAATCAGAAAACAGCACATATAAGCTCCCAAAGACCCTGAAGACCCCCAAAACCCCCAGTTTTTGGCATGTTATGGAGGCTATGCTTATAAAGAGGATTCAAAACAGAATGTCAGAAAGCAGTGCAGATGTCAGTGGTGATTAGTGTACTGTAAAGAGAAGTTGGACCCAATCACTTCGCACATAGGTGTGAAAAGTCACAACAACTTGTTACAGGAAGAACTCCAGTCTAATGTACTTCAGTAAAGACAGTTTTGTCTCTCTCTACAACAGTACAAGACAAAAGACTAACCCAACTTTAGACATAAATCTTTAATAGTTCTTCTTCTTCTTTGGTTGAAAAGTGTTCTAAAAAGTAATCCCTTTCATTGCAAATAGTGGTGTCCCTCAGTACAGGTTACTAGTATATTAGCAAATTGGCTACACTATCTGTCAGCTTGGTAGAAATGAAAAATTACCGCACTACTTTTCGAAAGTAATACGAAGAGTTTGGGGGCTGCATGGGGTGAAAACTGTGTGGAACTCAGTTCATACCTGTTATCAACTGCCTAATACTACAGAACATGTTTGTCCAATAAAATCTGTTTGGGAGGTCCAAAACTAGAACAATTAGACCAAGGAGGTTCAATACTCTACAAGCAGATATTTGGGTTTTGGCTTATTTTTGGCATATTATATACATATATTATCAGGCTTTCTTTTTTGCACTGGTATCCTTTTTGGGTTGGCATTAAAAAAATACCAGTGCAAAAAAAAGGCTGATAAAAAAAAGCCTAAAAAACATGCCAAAAATAAGCCAAAACCCAAACCTCTGCTTGGAGAGTAGTCCTTCAAGAACTAGACACAATTCAGACGCAGGTGAAAAACCTGTTAATATGATTATGGAATTTTATATTATTATATATCAATTTTTCTGGGGTGTATTTCAGCGTGTATTTCGACGTGAGTCAAAAACGAGAACAGGTGTATGATCTGAACATACACTCTTGACATATTTCTACATGCAAGAAATATTTGACAAAGTTTAACACAATTATCATAGCCTCCTGAGTCCTGTACATACACAGTTTTGGCTCTGGATATGTTGTCTTGTTGAATACAGGACAGTTGGTTGCGATATCATGTTTTGTAAATTAGCAATCTTGTTTTTTTGGCCTGCCTCATTTTTTTCCCCTATCGCATTAGATTTGGAGTCTGCGGAAAATGTCATCCATAAAATTTACTTGCTGTAGCCTAAGCAATAATTTTGTCAAAAATTAAAAGGATCAAATAAATATAGATTCCCCAGTAATAAAAGCCTTGGGGGGAAAACAGAAGTGACATGGCACCAACTCTCTAACACTGGGCCTACGAAAAAAAAAATTGTGCTTCTTGTTTCCCAACAGACCCTAGAAAAAACTGCCGACCCTAGCCTTCTTTTGTGGATCCCTGAAAGGGACATAAGTTTTCGAGCTGATCAACCTTTTCTAGCTCCATGATCTGACACTTGAGTGATGAAATGTTACACAATCAGTTTTCCAACATGGACAATGAAAATATAAGTGTAATCATCATGCACGTTTTACTTTGTTAAACTGTATTGTATAAGTTGGATCACTAGAGATCACAGGTCTAAAAAAAAGAAAAGAAGAAAAAAAAAAGAAAATACCAATCTACCGACACTAACTTTTTCAGGACCGAAACAGGAAACACAACATTTTTTTTCCTAAGCCTCACTACCCTGTCTCCCCTGGACACAATGGTCCGTCCCGTCATGTATATTGAGTCATTAGAGGGGGGGTAATCAGGTCCTGGTTTATGGCACCCACATGGCAAATTACGGGTTACACAGCTTTCTCCCCTCATGCATTATTCTTCCACTTTCCCTTTTCAAATTTGGTTCTGTAAATACAAAAGAACTTTCCCTTTTCAAATTTGGTTCAATAAATACAAAAGAAACCCCACAACAAGAATTAAAGGCATCCAATGCAGTTTTTAGGGCTTGGAAACCTAATTTTTCAAAGCCAATATTCTAGTCATTTATCTACATAAGTTGAGTTGAAACCGCACTGTCCCAATGTCCCCAATGTATCTTGACCCTCATGGAGCAAAAATTCCCCAAAATTCTGACGGAAAATGGTTACTGGCAGGGCCCTGGGCTGATATTTAGGGTACCACCCATGAAATAAAGGACTCATCTTGGGGCTTGTTTCTGCAATTTTAAATACCCAAAGTATGAAATTCTGAACACTCAAGCATAAGCAGTCTAGCTACAAACATGTACTTACTCTTGAACCACTTCCACATTTTATATATCATAACAAAACCATAATATCATAACAAAGCCTGGTTTTACCCTTGAGGAAACGAAGGTGCCAAATTTCACACACTTGAGTAATAAGGTCATCACCTTTCAATTACCACACAAAAATAGCAAATATTAATAATTCAGTAGAGTAGTCTATCCTAGTGATCCTATATACTAGTACCTTGTGTATACTGGGTCTGGGATTGATGGAAGCGTTCCGCTTCAAGTACCCTTGGGGCCAGTTTTTTAACCCGAATTCTCAGGGCTCAAAATACCACCCGAATGCACAGGTTAGTGCAGGTAAAACTGGAGCTGTGCAGGTATTTGTGATACCTACCTGCACTGGTCCATGTACTGGGTTTATTCACAAATGCAGGTACATGTATATGTGGCTTTTAACTTCCATGAAAAATGGAGGTATTGTTTTTTGTGTGTCTATCTGTCTGTCTGTGAATGAATGAATGAATGAATGAATGAATGAATGAATGAAAGAAGAATGAATGAATGAATGAATGAATGAATGAATGAATGAATGAATGAATGAATGAATGAATGAATGAATGAATGAATGAATGAATGAATGAATGAATGAATGAATGATACTTTATTTCCGTGTCGTGCGCTATTCCGCGCCCAGCCCGTGTGGGCTTATACGACACCGATTCAATAAGTTATACATAAACAAAAGACGATCAAAGGAACAGATAACAGAATCCAAACAAAATATGAACGCAAATAAAGGTAGGCTATATACAATAATGGTGAACAAATAAGTGAACTCATAGCATATCGTAAATGCAAATAAACAAATCTGTACACAATGAACCAAGAGTTCACAAAATAAATACAAGTACATAAGGTAAATCAAACATAATAAGAGAAAACAAACGTGCAGAAGTAACAAAATGTGACAACTGTTGATGTGTTATGAATACAGGTATTTTCTTCTTTTCCCCCACGCTCGATAAATGAAAGTTGCTAGGTCAGATACACCCTCGTTAAAGAGCCACTTAATTCTATTTTCATCTCTTTCCCATATGATGTCAGGTGATTTTGTATAAATTTTACGAAACATATTTTCTCGAAGATCGTCATAAAAGGGACAGTAAAAAAAGAGTGTGTCTGTCTGTGTGTTTGTTTTTCTGCTGCAGTACCAAGATCAGCCACCAGGAGGCCCAAAATCTACCTTGACCTTTGCCTACCCAACACATACCCACATACCAAATATCATTACAAACTTGAAACTTTCCTGTGGCTTTCTTATAATAGAAAGGTCATACCTATTGTCTTAAATTCTACTATCATTTTCCCGAGTCCCCCTTTACTCAATAAGAGATGGCTGCTCTGAAAATAACAATTCATTATGGTAGCAAAATAATCATGAGCAACATATATTTACACTGCAAAATTTACACACTCTCTCCAAGCTCAGAGCCTCTACAAACTACGTACAAAGAGAGGCCTGGTCATTTTCAGTTTCATGACAGAATTTTCCGCTTGCATCTGCTTGCATCTAGTACTAGTAATTAAAATAACATAAGAAGTCCTCCAATCATGATTGCAATTAGGAACCTTACCTCGCTTTGCAAAAAGCTCTCCAAGTCTGCAAAGTACACCAATTGTGGCACCAGTATCTCTGTTTACTACATCTACTGAGTATTCCTTAGCAGCTACACCACAAACAGAACTTTCAAAAAGACCAGGTCTTGAAATACTATCGTGACGGGTTACTGTGGCCCATGGCAATTTGCAAACGCTTACCATGATAAATTGTGTTGGTACAGTATTAAGTAGCTATTCTCATCACAAGAGAGGAGTTCCAGGCTAACCTTTAAACTGCAAACTGTCTGTTTTCGAGGAATTGATGGGCTAAGAAGTCTCCAAAAACAACAGGAACAGAAGAAATCACTTATAACAACTTCAGCATAAAATATCAGCTACCAACTCCTGGACTAGGTTTCGGTGAAAATATTTGTA